TGTTTTTTGTTAATCATAACGAGACATCAAGTCTAAACGGTTTTCAGGTGCCCCTTCGAAGAGAGAGAGAGTAGGGAAAAAAGGTGGTGGCATCTTAATTTATGTAAAGAATAATCTATCGTGTAAATACTTCACTGAGTTTGATAATCTAGATTTTAAAATGCTCTTCTGTTCTATTCAGTTCTCTAAATCAAAAACTGTTTTGTTACCAGCGTGTTATCGACCGAATTGAATTGATATAGGAGATTTTATTGTACACCTAGGCAATGTTTAAACTGAAATTAGAAATTAGTCTAACTGGTCTTCTAAAGCTTTATACACGTACGTTATCTAGGCTGGCATTCGATTTAGTTCCTTAGAGCAAATTCTTTTTTTAGTAGAAACGGCGGAAAATTCTCTACAAAATCTGTTCCAGCGAGTTTCCACGTCTTGTACGAGATCCCGTGATGGTAAAAGGAGTTGATTTTGGCCAGCGTGTAAATCATCTCTGGACTTGTGAGAACGTCTGATATGAGAGACAGTCTTTTCAACATTTGATAATTGAGCTGCAATATTCGGTTCATCGATGCCAACTTTCACAACGGTTTGAAGCAAATGAGAAAAACAACCACACTAACCGAGTCCTAATTCACGCCCAACTTTCAACATTGTATTTGTGTTATCAGTTACAACGCAGATAATCGAAGACAGCACATCCCAATGAACCAGGGTATCTTTGATACGTTCACGAATATTGTCGGCGTTGTGCTCACCGACGAAATCCAGCGTCTCTAACACCCGATTATATGCAACAAATTGTTCATCAGTATAGTGGGCTGTTATGGTAATATAATTCACTCTGGCATCGGACGACCACATATCACTCGTCACACCAACTCATTCAGCATTATTCAATTCTAAATATTCAAAAATTACATATGACTTTCGGAAGTAGGGAGAGAAGACATGAAAATTTCGTTAATGAGATGCTTCTGTATTTACATTCATTGTAGTAGGGACACGTTCCTTTCTAGGGGAGTCTTGTCACGAGCGCACATAAAATGTCCAACCCACCTTTGCGAAGTTGAAAGTCGCTTAACTTAAGAGTTGTTTAACTCTGCTACCGCAGTGTCTGTACTTTACCGTTTTTGCTCATTTTGTTTATCCTATAGTGTTCATAAGGAATATCACAAAATCCTGAAAAATGTCTTGAGTGCTAGAATGAAATGTGCAATTCAAAACCTACGACTGACTCAATTCAAAAAAATCTATCGGTTTTGGGCCGTAATCAAACTACCAAAAGTCCTGAAAACAGATGAAAGTATTTTTGTGACTCTTCGTATTTTTCTAAGTACACTATAACCTTGAATCAAAATTCGCCGAGGAATTTCCAGTTTATGGAAATTGTTGAATTTCTACCTTCTAGAAATCTTTGGGCGAATTTCCACTTTCTAGAAAATCGATCGAATCTCTATAAATAATTCCCAGGAATCGGGAAATTCCTTTTTGATTTGATATTCCTTGGGAATTATTTGAAGAAATTCGATCTACTTTCTAGAAAGTGGAAATTCGCCGAGGAATTTATAGACCAATCCTAACGCCTGAAAACAGATGAAAGTATTTTTGTGACGTTATTCAGTTTGTCAGATCACTTAATCTGAGCGTGCCGTATTGCCAACTATGCTGAGCAGCCAGACCGAAAAGGATATTTTCTTATAAAGGGTGTTCCAGAAGTTCTCATACGATCTGAATAATAAATTTTCCTATAGTGAAAAAAAAGATACTATGAGTAACTCAGCTGCTTTTTAAGTATTCAACTCGAAAAGTTTTGTACAGAATTTTGTCTTCTCTAACTCTGTTACGTCAAAAACAATGTTAGAAAAGAGATTTAAGGCAAAAATGCAAAATATAACAGGTCCAGTATATTTGACAGATTGACCGCTACCTGAGAAATGTCAATAACCATACAGAAAAGAAAGTTTCCTAATACTTTTTCCGTTCCAAAAGTCGATTAAGGAGCTGGTCCACCTAACGCGACACCTCACTGACCAAGTATGTTTTTTCAAAATCGAACAAAAGTAGGAGTGTGCCATCTTGTACAGCACATTCGATTGTGTGGTAAAACGGACTTTTTCATTACCTTCAACAGTGAAAGGCTGGAGATAAGGCGATAGTTTAAGTCAGCGCAAACTTCCGACTTTACGTTTTTAGAGGTTCTATTTTTTCGAATTCTCGTAGCCTAAGATTTTCTTTTCATGACTCTTTTGAATATGGTTTATAGACTATCGACAACGGGCTATCTTTTAGCGAAAGAATCTCCATGTGCACTCTTTCCTCATTAAGTAATTATCGAAACAATACTTAATCATTTATAACGTAACAGCGTCACGAAAAGTGTTCATTGTAAAATTTCTGGAGGCCGATTCGCACTTTTCAAACAACGAAGTAGTTACTTATCGACAACTTTTGACGGTGATTCTAACGGACTACCTTTTTTTTAAAAAAGCCGTTTCTAAACGAAGATAACCGTGACGCTGTTACGAAAACTTGATTGTTGACGAATCTTTCATTCAATTTAGTCGATTTCTATTTTGACCAGCATACCGACCACTTGAAAATTACTCGCGGTTTTGATCAAGAGTGAGCCGAAAGCAAAGTCCGACAGTAATTTTTACTCACAAAACAAAACTTTGCTAATGGATTTTGCATCTCTTTCGCTTTGATTCAGCTTGAACTCGTTGAACTCTAGTTACTGTGAGCCGTTGCACATTTCTCTCACTTTCTATATATTTGGTTTGCAATGTTGGCAAGAAAGAAAGAACATCAAATGTATTATTAAGAAACGGAAAAAAATCTGTCTTCTTGTCATTCACCTATTTGTTTTGTCAAGATCATATATATATAACCAACACTGCTGCGACAGCAGCTTTCTTTCCATATATATATATCAGTTTACTCAGAAAACAAAGGCTACGTCGAATATTTTTTGTATTCTACTATTATTTTGAATTCTACATATTCAGGTAAGTGGCTTTAGGTTAACGAGGAAGTCTAAGGATGGCGAAAAGTGCGACTGAGAAAGCTAAAAAATATCGAGAAAAAGTTAAAAAAGATAAATTTAAGTACAAATCTACGAAGGCGAATGCTTGTGTTCGTAATAATTCAATTAGAACTAAATTAATAGGTCCAGTACTTGCGCGGTTTCGTGAAAAGAATAAGGATTGTCAAAAATCTTTTTGTGCAAATCAGTTTAAACAATTAACTAATAAAGCACTTTCAGCTTCATTTAAAAGTCGTCAATCGTTCGGAAGGTCATTAAAAAAAGTCACTTCCTCTTTAAAATTCGTTCTTTATTTCGTTCTTTCGTTATATGAGTTAGATTGTGCAACTGGTAATAGAGAATGTAAATTTGTTCCATTCTGTGCATATCAGCTATTCTTCTTTCTGCCATTTAAACGAGAACAAGAAAAAAGAACGAAGTCTACACGTCGACAGAAAAGAACAAATCTTTCTATGCATTGAATATAGTCCAAGTCCATGTGTTCAATTATTTTGGATGGCTTCCCTTATTCAGCAATTTTTCGAAGAAAGCAAATTTTAAAAAGGTTTTTGTTTGCGCAATCATTCGCAAACAAACACACCTTGTAAATTAACACCTTTTATATCAAATGTATCTAACATGGGATAATTCCCGGCAATCTCAAGTGTCACGAAAGTTGAAAGAAAAATCCTTCAATAATTTTTGGGGATAAAATGGGAGACAGAATAATCAATTACGTGCGTTTGATTCTAAGGGTTTTTACCTTGTTTATTTATTGCTGAATATATAAAAGAAAGGCAATTTTACTTGAAATATTCATTTGAAACTGAAAGTACGAAAATATTCATTAATTATTGAGTTTTATTCCAACTTTTTTGTTACAAGATATTCTTTGAATAAGTAAGTTATAGTTTCACATAACAATCGCTTGTTGTCATCTTAAATCACGTAACAAGAATGATGGGCATGGTGAATTGATCAATTTAGTGACCGGCAACGTTGTTTCGCCCAACTTAAATTTTGAAGACGATGGTTGTTTGTTGGTTCGATCTGAAATATCGAAAACACAAAGTAGACCACTAACAGAATGTCAAATTTCTAATTTTGAACAGCCTGGTGCGAGTGACATTCAAAAGAATAAAGATGTTACTAAAGCTGAAGAACAGTTAAGTAGAAAAGAAATGATTACCACAACCGGAGACATTACACTTAGTTTAAATCAACTTAAATTGGAAACAGCATCAGAATGTGATGTGCGCGAGCCAATTATTACTGATAAAGGTCTATGCTTATACAATCCAAGTGTAATCGACTTATTGTTATTTCCGACCTCTAACAAAAAGTATGTTGAATAAATAAATTAAGTTTGGGAAACTGTGAGTTTATTGTTGGATATTATTTCAGTTGCATATTCTATGATTTTGAACATGGTAATTTTGACCAATTTAAAGTAACCATGGATTATGATCATGCGGATGTTGTTCGAATGAGAAATGATCGAAATCAGGTAGTAAAGAATTAGTATATTAGTGACTATATCAAATATTTTTCATATTTGTTTAGACACTTCTACATATTAGTGCTATTCGATTAGTTCCTTATGTATGGTTACGTCTATTACTTATGCGGAACATCGATCCTACTGCACAAGACAATGACGGATACACAGCTGCTCATTACGCCGTTGAATGGAATAACGTAGAAATTCTGAAAGCTTTGACTGTTCGTTGCCACTCAGTCCAGGTACTTTCAGATATGGAAATCACAAATATTCATTGCCAATGCTTACAAGCATTAGACATTAGAGAATTCTCTGGTCAGTAATATAGGTTGTTACTCAAGTACAGACATTTAACATTTGCTTTTTATAGGTGGACTCACTGTATTCCTGCTTGCATGTAAAAAACAAGCGGTGGATTGTATCAAGTATATTCACCAGTTAGGTCGTTATGAGATTAATACTCAAGACCGGTATGGAGATACAGCTTTACATTATGTTGTTAGCCAAAATAATATTTTATTAACTAATTTTCTGATTGACGAATGTCGAGCGGATACTAATGGTGGTAAAACTGATCGTCCAAGTGTATTGGATGTCGCTCACTACAACAATAACTTAGAGATAAAAGAGATATTGCTAAGGCACAATGCAAGGTCTCGATGTCGCATTGAAAAGCAAATAAAAGCAATACAGAATATTTCAAAATGAATGGAGAGATAGGAAACGTCAGCAATTCTTACTTTATTATTTTTTTTAAGCATCTTTTATTTGTGCAATAATGATTAAAAAATAAAATACAACAACCAGAGAAAAACTCTTATACGACAATTCGGGATATCCCATTGTATGCCGGATTCTACATGAACACACTAGAATAAAATAAGTATATAGAGAAGAGAGAGTATACTAGTGTTGGTGAGAGAGAGAATTTGGAATCGACTTATGAGATCCACCCTATTCGTGTGACATCCTGCTGGTGAAGGTTTAGTACATCATGACTGATTGAATCTTCCGGTGGTATCAGTGAATTGGACGATGGCTGTATACACTCTTATCAGGTCCTGCTTAAGCAGTGCTCGAATAGATTCATGTTTCAAAAGTATGTGCTTCAACATAATGTGATTACAAGGACAATACGCAGTTGCTCAAACATAAAGTTACGAGACTTATCATGAAGAGCACAGTCCATAAAAAATTCTTTAGTAGTCTCCCTATTAAAGCCACATGCACACGCCGGTGACTTTTCTAATCCACCTCTAATAAAGAGATAATCATTTAGTTGAGGATTATCAACTCTACATCGCGTATGATGTATCTCCAATCGCCGATCACGCATTAATGGTAAACGAAAGGACGGAGTATATTGCAGGACTAATTTAAGTTTGAAATCAGTCAATTTATGTGTTGAACGTATATCATTTTGTTGACTCAATAATGAACAAATCGTAAGTTTCAAAATGATTTAATTCAAATCTTAATCAGGTTTTGTTTTATTTGTTTTAAATAATATTTTTATTTATAATTAGAGGATTTTGTTCTTTTAAATCATTTTAATAACGATAAACAACGCGAAGAAGATATTTATTTTGAATCTTTAATCAATTCTCATATTGATTTTATTCGAATTAAATCAGATTTTGATTGTTTACGTCAATTCATGTAATAAAATACAACAAACAAAACTTTTTTTTCATAAAGATTAAAATTCTTTTATTTCATCAAATAATAAATCATTTAATAATTTCATCTATTAAATAAAGATATCTTCTCATAATTCAATACTATTGATTCGTACGACGAGTTTTCAAACAATTGTAAACATTGTAATATGTCGATTGTTGATTATACAGTTCTGACGGAAACTAGACAGTCGGATGATGGAGGAGATTCTCTTTAGAAGAATAAAGTATGCCAAATGGAATCTTTTTTATCTGACAATGATTGATGAAAATCTCCTCTGTGTATTTTATCTGTTCTATGATTTTTGTTACATTTGTATGTCAAATCAATCATATATATACCGACACGCAAGTTTTATACAAGGTAGCTGTTAGATGCTTTCATTCATTTCGGTAAATTGTTATTATATGTTAACTTAGACTTCTGCTGATGCTTGCAGAACAAATCAAATGAAGAATGAGCAAAAATACTTGATCAATATCAATGAAAGAAATTGTAAATGACTGATATATGTATCGTTTGAGTTAACTCATTCGTTCGTTTTTGAGTAGTGAATCAGCATATTTTATTTTTCACATTTCCTTTCGGGGTCGTCGGAAGTGAGCGAAACTGGGCGTGAACCTAACTTGAGTCCACAGTCTATGGTTCACCCATGTTGGCTGTAATATGAAGAGAATTCTCAATAGATGTCCTTTGTGATCGTATGGTTTTTCATGAAATTCTTTTATTAGCCTTTTCCTTTTTTCTCTTATATATTTTGGCATCAATTTCTGGCCAATTATTAATAAAAATAGTTTTGAATTTTTATAATTAATTAATAGTTTTAATTAATATTTAAAGCACTTTTCGCTGAAAAAGTGCGCTCTTTGGTGGAAAATACACCATTTATGCGAGGTTTCGCGAAAAAATTCTGAAAAACCAGGTGCATTTTTTAATGATAGGACTCAATTAATCAATTTTGCAATTTGTACTCATATGAAACCTATCATTCTTCTGGCTCGTCGCTCTGCCCATATCACGGCGGCTTTTACAGAAAGTTGGACATGACTATCCTTCATTTATTTTAGTATCAGGTTGGGGTTAATTTTCTGGAACACTTTTTCTAACGTGAATATCGGACG